TCCTTTTTAAATCTGCTGTGTTACAACTACCATAAGCTGACATCTTGGTTTATTATTGTGCCTCCAAATGGCGATGAAGTCTATAAGCAAGACGTGGCTTACTTTTGTCTTCAGTGGTGTCACACAATCAATTTTTCTCAGTGTGAAAGTTGTATTGTTCCAGCGGAGTGTAGAGTGCCTGCTGATGTTCCTGTTACACCAGTGGCTTATTGAAGCTGGACAAGATCCATTTGAGAGTCCCGTGGCTGTTCATGTGCAGGTGTAGTGGGCAAAGTCTGCAAGCCATGTGTGAGCAATTGTAATGGATGATTTCAGTTTAACTGTGTTGCCATTCAGTCTCGTGTGTGGTGCAGGCAGGAACAGTCCCTCTAATCATTGGGTAGGAGAGCAAAGCAGTCTGTAAGCCTTTTCTCCTTTCTTGTGTCCCTTGCATGGTTGTTAAACAGAGTCTTTCCCCAAGGTACCGACTGTCTTTATCTGATTGGATTCCTCTAGTTAATTCTTTCCATTTTCCATTAGAATAAAACACAATACTGCTTCAGTCTTTTTCCAAAATAGCAGCTTCTGGTGGCATATTCCATACAGTGGTGATTGTCTTATTGTGGTGAAAGCTGAAAGTCATTTCCAGAGAAATCCTCCTAAGCCTTTAGACTGTGTGTGTGTGTGTGAGAGAGAGAAAGAGGAAGACAGATGTGTGTACCTATAGGTGCACTTACAGGTGTACAGAAAGAGTGCTCAGATTGGCTTTGTTATGGTGAAAATGGACATTCATGCATTTAAAGTGTGTAAAAATGTGCACATATTTGAGGAGCCTTGTGGTCGATTTGGGTTCCAGCCATGTCCCCATATCCTCGGGCTTGTTTTCACTTTCACCTGAGCCAGGAAATTTGTGGGCAGAACCATGAATGGAAACAAAAACAGAGGTTTTAATAGTGAAACCCCAGTCTGGGTCATTTTACGGATGTGTGTGTGAGCCCACTGCTAGTTTAACACATTGATCTGTTCCCCAGATTCCCTGGCATTGATGAGCTGTGGTGTTTGCAGAACATTTTGACCACATTTAACCATGACCAGCTGTCCAGCAGGCAAGACACAAATGTAAATGTTTGGACCACTGGCTGTGAGACCTAGCTGGTTTTATGCCAAAGCGCTTGGCAGAGAAAACACAATTATCAGCCATGGCCAAAATTTACACTTACCATGGCGAGCTAATTAAGTGATCTTCAGCCAGATGGATAATGTGACAGGCAGCTTACTAGGAAAGAAATAACTGTTTAGAATTGAACGTACCTTGGATGTACATTCGATCAAACTGTGCATCCAAGACGTGAGGGGGAAATGTTTTTGTCAGCATCCTTTCAAATGGCTGGCACATGTGGTCAGCGTGTGTTGATGTTGTTTTAGTCGTGAGGAACCGCAACTGTCTCTCCATGTTCTTCTGGGGGTTTCCACCGTCTCCGCTCTCTCCAGTTATGGTTTTTGCCCATGCGTCACTGGAGTATTTGTTTCGTGGGTGCGTGTCATTACTCATACACACTACTCCACATATTTGTTGGAGATGGTGTTACTGCCTCCTGCCACTGTCTTCACCTTCTGTCACACTGATGATGACTGAATGTGTCAGTGCGTGAGTTACGTTTATATTACTGCTGAGCAAAAATGCAGCAGTATTGACTTCTGGTAAAGGCTCCCATTGAGTTATTTCTGACAGAGTACAGCAGGCTATTTTTTGTGTGGGGGAAGAAAGGGAGGTGGTATTTATTGAACACGGGGCTTGCTTCGTGTGACTGTATTTGTCCTTGTGTGTGAACTGACGTCACTTTATTGTTGCTCACGTTGCCAGACCAGTGAAGCTTTTTCCGGTAGGTTCATAATCATAGTTGTGCGTCTGGTAACTAGAGCCTGATAACCGAAATATGCCCGGCGTCTGCTCCGCAAACATTGTCATGATGACTTGGTTTTTAAATAGCCTCAAGTGCTACTGGGGGTTTTTTCTTCACGCAGGGCAAACATTTTTACTCAACTATAGAGAAAACAATGATAATTCAATAGAAAGCGATATTATTGGCACTCGAATTAATCAGTTGAAGCCTTGGGAAAAAAATAAAGAAAACAGAAGGGTTGCAAGGGATGATTGTTTTTATAAGCAACTAATCTTCTGAATATTTTCTTTGTTTGGTCATAATCTATAAAAAAACAGCAATTTCAGACAATGTCCCAGAGGCCACTGTGATGTTTTCAAAGCACCTGTTTAATGTGATCTACAGTCGAAAAACTAAAGATGTATAATTCACTATCATATTTCAAAGAGAGGAATCAAATCCCTAACTTTGAGAAGCTGGAACTAGTGTTGTTTAAAAGATAATTCATCGATTATAAACTAGTTGCCAGCTTATTTTCTTTCAGTTCACTAATCATTAAATTGTATCATTATTTCTGCCCTAAAACGGTACCTACAGGTGCTTTGATTCAGTCGAACCTTGCTTTTCATCTGTCTCATAAGGACAGATAAGATAAGACGGGGAATATGACATGCCATTTGCTCTTGTGAGAGATTATAAATACACTGGAATCAACTGCTTTTATTAAAGAGCCCCTTTATATGTCCATGAAGTGTTTTCTCAATGCCACAAGACATATGCACTTTGAGTTACTCCCTGAGTAAGGAAAGCGCTATATAAATCTAATTAGTTATTTTTATTGTTCTCAGAAGCAAAAGAAGCAGCCAACGCTTTTGTCATAGTCAATGCCATGCCTGAGCATTCCCACCTTTAAACTGCAGCGTACTGATGACAGTCTCAGAAACATGGAGTCAGATTTCTTTGGTTTCACACAACAAATGTAAGTAACCAATCTTGTCAACTTGCAGCGAGAGGGATTCTCTGTCATAGTCAGAATCAGTGCAAACGTATGGCTGAATTACTCCAATGTTAGAATTGGCGTAGAATAGATTTATAGTGTTTGAGTAGATTCACGTGTTCTGGAGAAAGTGACAGTGTAGAGTTGTAGAGTTACATCTAAATCCTTTTAAGGTAGGGAGAAAATTTTGTTAATGGAAAAAACTGCTTTTAAATATGTAACTTTGATACACAGAAATGAATTTGTAGGGGGTTCAATCAACAGGTTCCCACAACCAATTTTACTTGAAAGATTCACTACTTTATCACTGTTCGTGGTTGCATTTATCAGATGAATGAGGACAAAGTGAACAGAAGTTTACAAAACTGGTGAAAAAGTAAAGCAGGGGAAAAGAAAACGGAAAGCAAATTAATTGAAGTGACACATTAATAAGAGCATGCACACAGTGACGCCACACTGTGGTAAATAATTTCTGCTTTTTGCCAATTTAGATGTTTTTTTTTTCCTTATCAGTTGCACAGATATCACAGAGCATCGTAGGTATTGTATCGAGTGTTGCAGAATCGGCGTGTTACTTTCATTATTACGGGAACGTATCTTGACTGTTCTCAGCTTCATTGTACTGCGTTTTTACCTTCCGTCTGCCACCACCTATTCCAGGCTTCTTTTCTCTCATCTCGTTCATCTGCCGCTTGCTCTCATTTCCTCTCATACGGTATCTCTCATCTTACTCCTCTCTCAGCAGGAGCCAGCAACCATCTTTGCTTGCACAAATGAGCCCCAGACTGAGAGGCACCTGCTGGCCTCTTTCTCTGTCATGTCCAGCTGATGAATGGGTCTGTGCCAGTCTGTGCTGTAGAGAGACACACTATCTACAGAGTTTAGTGACTGACCACAGTGCTACCTGTGCCAGGTTGCTGTTTCTAAATAGCTAAATAAGTTGAAAACATCAGTGCAGGTTTTCATGATAGCAGTTGTGCTGTTTTCCCCGATGGTAGCAATAAAATGTTCATGATGCTTTTCATTTTGTGCGCTTTGCTCCAGACAGCGTTTCTGTCTCTAATTACATTATTATATTGTAGCCAATACATAATCTCCCGCACCCAGCATCTATCCTTTGCATCTTCCAGGACTCTGTTAATAGCGTTTCCCAGCTGTCAGTAGTTCATGCGTAGGGCCCATATCTTTAGTGTTCATCACCACAACCAAGTCTGCACTTAAAAGGAGATGCATGAAAAGTATGTTAATAAGATTTGTGCAGTGGAAGAGGTCTTTGTGGTGTACAGTTTCTGAGAGCTGGCTCATTGGAGAAGAAGTGGAAAGGGAGACTGGAAAAACAAAATTCCCCAAAAATCTGGCTTCTCTTCACTGGAGTCATTGAGTTTTTTTTTTAACAGAAGCCTTGTCAGAGGATTTGCTTTCATCTTACGTCAAAGAAAAGCAGAACATGTTGTTTTATGAAGTCACAATCTATAGTGAGTGCTGTTATCAATAGTGAAGCAACTACCTTGGGGAATGTATTCAAAACCTGCTAACTTTTTAAAGAGGATTTTCATATTGGCTAAGAATGATAAAATGGCTTTCTCAGCGACTAAGTGTTTCTGGAATTGTTCAAGGTCCATGAATCACTATCGGTCCTTTACATAGTCACACTCCACCACACTGGCCTCATGCAGCTAGACTTCATTTCCAGTATTTTCTGACGGGCCTTCTATATAATCTGACAGTTTAATCCAGTCACTGATTATTAAATTGGGGGAGGATCAAGGGACAATGCCTCCGACTGTGGGATGACTGATGACAGATATGTTGCAAATCTGTCCTCACCATGCGATGCATCCAGAATCATCCAGCGGTATAAATGCACCATCTCACATATGGCGCGCTTGAGAATGCAAGTGGTGAATGTCAACAAACCGCTGCCAGACGCCACAGCAGTTGCAGCCCGTGGGTCAGCTCCAGATTAAAGTCGACCTCGCACCCCCCCCTGTCTCCATAAACAGCCAGCGCCATTTCTGTCCCCGCCACACGTGCTGCCGGACACTAAATATCCGTCCATCGATTTAAGCCCAGGGCTAATTTTAGCATGGCTCAACTGTGTGTTAGTTAAAATATCTCATTGTGGGTGTTCCAAAAGTGGAGGCATCCCTGTTAGGGGTGGGGGTGGGGGTGTGAAGTGATTGAAATGGTTTGGAGAGTTGCCCTATATTGTTTGGGAGAGACCTATCTGCTTTTCCGGTTGCATGTTTTCCACTACACATAATAGGACGAGATGTCCATGACAAGCTTTTGTTTTTTTCCTAAATTGATGTTTCCACCTTGTAATGAGTTTGGTTGCACGAATGTAGTTTATGCAAATTGCAAAGTTATTGTTTGCAAGTGAAGAAAACCTGTCCGAATGCTTGTTCCTTTTCACATTATCTCTCATTACATTAGTTTGATGGGGAAGGAGTTGTAATGCAAATTGAGAAGAGCATTTTGAAATGCATGAATGTGCATGTTAAACTATATATGCATGCTTTTCTGCAGTGCTTTAGGGAATGACAAACTTTATCTATTAAAGAGAAGATGTATCCATTAAAGTTTAACTTTCTAATCATTTTGTACTTTTTTAAAATTATTTTTTACAATAAACCCAATTAATTTGATTATTTTGTTTCATGACTCTCTGCTCAAAGTGTCTGATCTTGTCTCCTCTTTCTCTTCCCTAGGCAGTCGTCTCTGAATGCTAACGGTGAGTTAATTTCATTTTTGCATGTTTTCATCAGTGATGCCCTAGAGCGTAATAGCCACGTAGAGAAGACTGCAGTAGTAAGTAGGACCTTGTCACTGGCTTGTCAAGGTTGATAAAACTCACTAAATCCTCAGCCAAACACACAGTCAGCCAGCTGTCTATAGCAGACTGCCGGGTGGGATCAAACACACACACACACACACACACTTAGACCCATGCCAGCCAAAATCACATCAATAGGCACTGGTGCCATTTAGTAAGACTGCTCAGAGTTTTCTCATCAAATAATGAAAGGACGGGTTCCTAAGAGAGTAACATGGTGTTTGCTCAGGGGTCAATTTGAAGAGAATTTCATTTTTGTCCAAAAGCTGATAATTTGACTTATCAAGTCTAGACATTGAATGAATGAACAGAATGGTGCAAAATGTTTTTGGGGAGTGATAAATATATTGAAATGTGCTTAGTTTCTCCACAGATAAAGAAATGTGACACGGTGTAATTCTGAGCACAGTGTCAGCAGAGAGTCGTTCTGCAGTTGTAAAGCAAACCTTGTCATTCTCACCCTTATGTACACTTTGATCTTTTTTGGTTTCCTGACTGTTCTTTAGTTCCAAAACAATATGCATGACTGCACACAAAATATTTGCTTGCAAGTTTTAAATCATCTGTGTGTCTGTTCTCTACTCAGCCCCAGTGAAGTCTGACTTCTCCAGCCTGATCCAGAACACCTTGATTTGTCCGTACTGTGGTCAGTGGCTGCAGCCTGACAATCACCGGATGCGACTGTGTCCCAAAAGGCGTCCATCAGCACGGGTGCAGAGTGTCCTGCTCAGGAAGGCCAGAGGCAAACGTCTCAACTTGGTGCAAAGAGATGTGCTGCAACGTTTCCAAAAGTCCTGCTCGGTACTGGTAAGAAGACAACACACTACAACCCCCCAGACTTTGTTATGCATTATACTGCACTGCAGCATATTGTCCTTGCAGGTAAACACCAGGGGTTTATGGCAAGGCAAGCACCTTTCTACAAAAAAGGCAACTCAAAGTGCTTTATGTAAAACATAAAAGGGCTGGACTAGTAATAAAAGGAACTCAAGGCAATGAAGATAAAACTAAGCTAAAATAGAAAGCAGATTAAACATGAGAATGCAAACTACAATGCAGTGTAGGGCAAGATATGAATAAATTGTTCCCAGTTTAATTTAATTACAAGGAGCAGCAATCTTAAGCTTTGATTTAAAGGAACTGACAGTTGGAGTAAAGAGTTTTCTCCAGATATGTGGTGCATGCCGTCCCATGTCTAATCTTGGTTTTGGGGGACAGTAAATCCAGTTAACTGAATGGTGTCTGCAGTTATAGTAGTGTTGAACTGAGGCTCAGTTAAGGCTTATATAGATAGACTTAGGAATAAAACTTGCTCAGAAGCTGTGTAGTGCAATTGTTTTTAATATATCCAAAGGGATTTTTGTAAACCTTGTTTGTTTAAAAAAAAAAATAAAAATGTTGTTGGTAACACTGTTTATTCCCTCTGATCTGTCACTTGGACTTCAGTGGTCCTAAAGATGTTCTTTAGCTGAAATACATCGTCCTTGAGATGGCCACTAACTGAGTAGCTGTTGCTGACCTCTGACCTATAACGGAGGCAGGGCAGGACAGAATTTCCTACAAGTTGTCAACAATGATCAGACTGCTATTTTTGATACTTGTCGAGCCCTGCGTTGTCCCTTATTGTATTGTTTTCAGCTGTCTTTGCTTTTAAGATTGATGAAGTAATTAGTATTCTTTCCACACAACGTGTCTGGTTCATTGTGGTGCTCCACTCATAGCTACCGCCGTTACAGTGGTCCCATTAGGCTTAACTGTATGAGAGCTAATGTTGCTAGACTGCGCTTTGTCAACACTCGCCCTGTTCTGTCCCGCAGCTCCATAAATTGTTATAGTGTTCCTTTTTATCTGTCCTGTTAATGGATGGCACCAAGTAGGGACAAAATGGAAAGCATATTTTGGCCAGCACCCACCCACTCTACTGATAAACTCATTTAGGCGAGGGAGCTGGTGATGGAGCATGTAACGATAGGGTCATTTCCCCGTGCATCAGAGAGCAGTGATAGGAGAGAACCACTGAAGAGCCTCTCTGGTGATCTGACATCAGCCCTAATGAAGAGCAACTTTAGTGGAAATGCCACCGCCTCATTAAAATCTGGTTGGGTTCATTGAGTATGCAGGTATTCACCACACAAGGCACTCCGGACCCACTCGCCACTATATATCTGTTGACTCTGAGGGCAAAGAGGTAGAAAGAGATGGATGCAGGGAGCAGGAATAAATAAGGTGGCAAACGGAATAACACAGCACAATCAAACGGCAAATGTGATAAAAGCAAAAAGGGGGAAAGGCAGATAGATAAGAGAGATGAGCAGGGGAAGTCAAATGATGGACTGCCAAAGGAAATGTTGTCATCTTGTGTTATAATTTCATATGCAGCAGTGGTTGTGCATCCCTGTTCTACTTCTGTGTACTGCTGTGAAGGTCAGATCCAGGCTCTGATAGGGAAATCATCTGGATCACAGAGGAGACTGCTGTAAAAAGTCTATTATGGTGCCTTTCAACATTATAGTACAGTGAACAGACCATTCACAGAGCAGCTTGGAAATTGAAAGTACTGCTGTCGGAAATTAAATTGCATACAGTTGATGGAATAATAAACCCAGCAAAAATAATCTTGATTTACGCAGGCCTCTAATAATAGCAGCTGTCAGGTAAGGACTATAAGAATGTAGCTTTAGTGCCAAGTGTAAGGGCAATGCTATAAAGCATTTATGAAGTCACGGTGCCTACAAATTCTGGCCTTCGTATCCATAAACTTAAACTTGTGTGGCTTTCCTGTTGAACTCTTAACCGACCACGCTGAGTCAAAGATGACTATGTGCTGTGCCATACCCTGAAAGTCTGTCCTAAAGACACTCAGCAGTGAGTGTGCACCTCAGCCTTTGCACGTTTGTCAACATGATGTCGATCATCACGTGACTTCCTAGTAAACCAATGCACCCCAAGAATATCCTCCAAGATATTTTTACTCTCTGTTTTCATGGTCACCGGGTTGAAATCTACTGGAAGTTCAAGAGGCAACAGGTCAAGCCATGTATGCGAGTTGGTATACACCTGTGCTCTGCACGCGGGTGATAGTTAGGTGATACCCTGAAAATGCAGCTGTGAAGGTACGAGGAGGAAGGTGAAATGCTTCCTTTTCTTTGCCTGTCTGGCTCCATGCTGATGATCAGAGCAACATAACCCTGTTAGGGGGCAGCTCAGCACGAGACCCTGAATAAAGAGACCGACATCCACTCAAGTCCTTTCTAAAGATGGACGCTCCGGGTCATAGATAGGATAACGAAAGAATCACCAGTTAAATCTTGTGCAGTCTTTCTTAAAGGATGCTGCGTTTGATTTTGACCGAAAAACCATCTCTGCATATCCTGAGTGCTACCTGAACCAGATAATGTAACACAGTGACCGTGAAGCCTTCATATGGTTTCATTAGTCTTTATCGTTTTATTGCCAGAGTTGAGGGTTATGGCTGTGTACACAGTAAGCTGCTCTTCTTACTGTCAGTTACGCGACAACTACGGAAGGAAGAAGAACACACTGCTGTATAATTAGAACGTGACTGTTTGTGTACAGCCTGAGACGGATCTTTGTTTAAAACGAGGTGTGAGTATTTGCAGATCCAGCTACACGTGTTTTATCGTTCTTGCAAGTGTCAAAACAATTACTGGATCTTGTTGTGGACGAAGGTTGATGTGGAAATTTTGAAAGGCTAATAGCTTTAATGACTTAGATGACTTGCATATTTGGATTAGTTTAAGGTAGCTGGTCCAGGCCAAATTGCATTCATAACGTCTTTGTGGTTACTGTAAGGGAAGTATGTTTTTCAATCAATAGACATACTTCTGTGTACTGTACATTTAGGGTGTCATAACATACGCATATTGACGACAACCAGGATTTTTAATAAATCACGTATTCTTACATATAATCACATATAACTGTCCGGCTGATGTTCCAGCATAGGAACAATTTACAGTACGGCTATGGTTAGAGACTCTCTCTCTCTCTCTCTCCACCTCTGTACACTTGTATTTTTAGTGTAATTCATTTGTTAAAAAAGGGACAAAACAGATGATTGAAAACAAGATGAATTTGGCTGAGAGCATTATTAGTTTTTTTTTTCATTCTCTGTAGTTGTCGCAGTGTTATTGTTGTCATAAATTGTTCTGGACATGATAATTGTATGGTGAAAATCTGATATAGTGACAGCTCTAGTATAAATTCATGCTTCATACTACTTAATATGCAACATTTTCCACATAAACCCTTTAGTGTATTTACTGTAAATTTATGGTTTGTACTTAATGAATTTATGTAAGCATAAAAACATCACATATTAGACCAGTAGGTGCACATTTACACTCTTACACATGCGCGTTTGGAAGTATTTATACTCCAGGGTGTAAATCCCCCTCATTTCACAGCATATTGCCCTCCCTTTAGGATGAGTGTATGTGAATGCGCTGCCCTTGGGGTAGATGCCAGTGCATGATAGGATTTCCTCATCTCTGTGAAGTTGTGTCTTAGAGGTATTATAAATCAGGTGTGTTTATGCATTCTGGGCAGGTTATCTAGCAGCGGATATGGAAATAAGTTGGAGTGCAGCCCCACAAGAGAGGCAGAGACCCTAAATGGAGCGAAGAATAGACGCTTCTCCTCCTCCTCCTGCATTCTTCTGTTCTCCCTCGTCGAATATAGATTTATACTTCCCGACAGAGTTGTTTGTTACGTTCATGTTGTTTTGGGTGGTTAATTTATGCACATTCTGAAAACAACACGTGTTTTTAGAATAAAAGATGAGCCAGATATGAAAAATATAACAAAGTGACAGACCGTAAGTGGTTGAAAAATCTTCCCTTTTTCCCAGAAGAACCATCTCTTCCAAACACGAGTGCAATCTGTCTCTGTAATTTATGTCACCGCTTCTTCTTGACCTCACTGACCACCTCTCTTCCCGTGGCTGTTTTCACTCTTTCCAATCTGTCCTTTTCTCTTGCGTCTTACCTCAACTCATCTACCTGACCGCCCTCTGCTCCCTCACATTATCCTCATCTTTCTCTTCTTCTCCTTCCATTCTTGGCCATCTCTTCACCACATCCCTCTGTCATATTTATCTTTGCTGGAGAATGTCTCTCGAGGAGATGACAGGAAACAGGAGGCAGTGATGCCTGGCTGGTGCTTTGCCTGTTAGCTCTCCGGGAACAGGAGAAGCTCCACTGAGGGTTATGACACCTTGAGGGAGGCCAGCGAGCGACAGGATGACAGAAAGAGGGACGTGTTGGGGAAGAGAAAGTCCATGAGGTGAACACGATTTTTTTAGGTACAAACAGAGGAGACTCAACGTGAAGTGGAAACACTCACTCTAGTGTCACGTGTGCAGGGATTTAAGTGAAGCATTTTAAGCATATTATCGCGCACATATACAGCAAGAGCAGCAGTCATGGTAAGTCAGCGCCAGCTGAGCTGACATCCTCGGGGAATCTTTAAGTGAACAAACAAAATATGTTCACTGCAACATAAATTTTAAGTTGTTTTTTTAAACACATAGTTTTTGCTCTCAGCTGCCATCATGTTTGTATTCTAGTTCACAAGCAGGAAAACCCATATAAAGAACCTGATGTCACACATAACGGCATGTCAGCTCTTAATTAGCCTCCGTGTCTCACTTCATTTTGTTTTTCGACACCACTATTAAAAGCCTTCTCTGGAACTTGGCAATCCTTTCAGTAAGTCTAGCAGCAAGATGTCACCAGTGTCAAGGTTTGGAAGCTGCCTTTGTTAAGCTTTTGGATCAACATGTACAA